TGTAGTCCCATGTGACTTTTGCTTTTGTTGCTTCTGCTTTGGGTGTCATATACCCCCCCCCCAAAAAAAATGAAGTTTCTCTGTGTGTTTTCTTCTAGGAATGTTATGGTATCATGTCTCGCGTTTAAGTCATTAATCCATTTTTAGTTCATTTTTCTTAAAAGTGTAAGATAGGGGTTCAGTGTCATTCTTTGGTATGAAAGTGAAAGTCACTGGATCATGTCTGACACTTTGCGACCCCATGGACTGTACCCTGTCAGGTTCCTCTGTCCATGGATTTCTCTAGGCCAGAATACTGGAGTGAGTGTTCATTCCTTTCTCCAGGGACTCTTCCCAACCCAAGGAATGAACCCAGGTCTCCCACATTACAAGTGGACTCTTTACCAGCTGAGCCACCAGGGAAACCCATTCTTTGGCATTTGGATATCCAATTTTCCCTGCACCATTTATTGAAGAGACAATCTTTTCTCCATTGTGTATTCTTGGCTCCCTTGCACATTGGGCTTATGTTAATATTTGTATTAACACTGCTCTGGAAAAGTCTTTCTCTTTGTTTCTTGGAAAGCTGGATAGAGAGGATCTAGCTCTGAGAATCACGAAATTATAAGTATGATGATCTCAAGATGCTTTCTTCTTTGAATTACCAATTCTAGGAAAGCTGCCCACTGACTAGAAATGCATGCATTGTACTGTTTCATGTGTGAGAAATTATTTTTAATATCACACTACTAACATTTGGATGGTATTTGTAGAAGCAGTAAGCATATATTGATTAATACATGTAGCATGGGAAAGAGTTAATAAAGATAAAGAAGACTGGGAGCATTGGGACAAAAAAAAAATTATTTTTTTGGGGGGGGGACAAGAATTTTAAACTAAGTCCTCAATGTGGCTCCCATTATGACTGTAGATAGTGAAAAAGAACATTAAACAAGAATACAAACACAAAAGCCTGAATGTTGGAGAACATTTTGTTTGTTCGAAGGGTATTAATGATTCCAGTGTGGAAGGAGCACAGTTAGATGATAGTTCGAGCATTTAAAATTGCTGAATCTATTATGACCTATAAACATAGAAATTTTATATTCTTCAGTGTTATGAGTGAAAATGGTAGAAGATATCAGAAAGAGATATAACATACTAGGGGCAAAAAGACTGGATCAAATATAGTCTTGTAAGAAACTCTTTCTTTGTTTACTTTTCTTCTGAGTGAAATGAGGAGTCTTTATAGGTTTTGACTGATATAAGTGATCAGGCTATTAAGGAACAAGAGCACAATCAACCAGTCTACTATAAGCTAGTCATGAAATGAGGATGACTAAAATTAAGATAGTAGTAGTGAACATGATAAATATGTTAAGACTTTAGACAAATTTTGAAAGTAGGGCCAACATAATCATGATGAGTTAAATATGGGCTTTGAGACAGAATGATGTTTAGTTAGTAGCCTTTGAATAGGGAAAGATGGAGTTGCCATTTACTGCAACGGGGTGATAGGCCTGTAGGTGAAGCAGGTTTTAGGGGAAATATAAGACTCTTAGCAAGAATGTATTGACTTTGTTAGTCAGCCCCATGAAGATGTCTAGCAAGTAACCAGATTTACAAGTCTGGAGCACAAAAAGAGGTCAGACAAGATATATTAATTTGAGACTTTTCAACTTCTAGATGGCATTTAAAGCCATAACCCTGGATGAGATCACCAAAGGAGAGAACGTGGATGGAGAAGGTATCTACTGATTGAGCTGGGAAACAACATTAAGAGATGGGCATGATAAGAAGGAACATATTTATAAAGGTGAATTTATAAGAGGTAGCCAGTGAGTTACCAGAAAAACCTGGAGAGTATGGGATCCTTACTGTAGGAAATAGTTTTCTAAGGAAGATGGAATGATCAAAGGCCACTGATAGATAAAGTAAGATGTAAAATGAAAGTGAAAGTCACTCATTTGTGTTAGACTCTTTGGGTTTTCATGGACTGTAGCCCACCAGGCTCTTCTGTCCATGGGATTTTCCAGGCAAGAATACTGGAGTGGGTTGCCATTCCCTTCTCCAGGGGATCTTCCCGACCCAGGAGTCGAACCTGGGTCTCCTGCATTACAGGCAGATTCTCTTACAATCTGATCCACCACAGAAACCCGGTAAAGTAAGATGGAGATTAATAAATGAAAATTGGTCGTCATTGATGACTCTGAAGAAGAGTTTTCATGGAGTGGTGGGGGAATGAGCAGGGGAGCCAGACTAGAATAGGAGTAGGTTTTAGAGACAATGAGAGGAAAATATTGAAGACAATGGATAAGAAACACCTTCAGGAGTTTTGTTGAAAAAGAGAGTAGAAATATGAGGTGGTAGCTGAAACAGTAAGTGAAATCAGAAAAGGGTATTTTTGAGATGGGAAAAATTGAAACCATGTTCTTATGGTGATATAACCCTAAAACGCATTGCTTAATGCAAAAATAAATTCTAGAAAATATAAACAATATGGCATAATTTATGCTTAAAAATTCACCAATAATACCATATTTCATCTAAGACCAAGATTTTCATGTATTTGTGGAGGAAAAAAATAGCATTTACTATTTCCATTTACTTTCCTTATATTTTTCCTTTTTTACATTTTTATTTTTCACATTTTAACATCTCTAAATGTGTCATATATCTTTTAATTCATGGCTTATTATAGTTCAATTGTGGTCATTTTCTTTTTTAGTGGTACACGAAACTTTCTCAAAATTAACAGTAGTTACATTAAATGATACGCAAAATATATTTTCTATGGGTATATAAGTAGAGAAGGCAAATCAGCAAATTCATAACAGAGATAACTATTTGGGGCATACATAGAACCACAGTGACTGTGAATGTTGTAAATATTTATTTACAATAGTCTAATGATTTAAAACGGAAATGGATGCCAATATTTTATATGTAAATAAAAATACATATAAATATATGAAACTGGATAATTTTAGAATCAAAAATATAAAAATAAATTTTAGAAAGATAAACAATTTAAAAGAAATATATGAAGAGAATCACACAATAGGACTACTGAATGGCAAAAAGACCCCACAGGAAAATAACTTGCAACTCACTAATCAGAAATATATAAACTAAAGCAGTGAGATACCAATCCTCACTCACTAGTTTGGCACACATTAAAAATATGAAAATATCAAGAGTTGACTAGAATGTGGAGAAGATGGAATACCTACAGCACTGATTATACCATAATTTGGTTCAATGAATTAATGCAAGAACTCGGCAACATTTAGGAATTTTGAATTGCTTTTACCTACAGCTCAGTATTTCTTTTTCCAGTGTATACACTGCAGAAACTCTGGAACAAGTCCAAGAAACTATTCATTGTATCATTATTTGTAATAATGAAATGTTGAAATGAATTAAATGACCATCAAGAGAATGGGTGCTTGAATATATTGTTAAATGGATGACAAAAATGTTATATATGTATACTCTGCAATAGAGTTGAAGATAACAAAGAATGTTAGAGATATAACAGGAAGAAATTTAAAAACAAAATATTGAGTAACAAAAGCAAGATGCAAAAAAAAAATACTCATGATTAAACTTATTTTCAAAATAAAGCTCAGCGAAATTAAATTATTAGATATATCAGAGTTCTATTTCAGGCTTGATGGCAAGGCTTTTTTAAGAAAAAAAAGCCAAAACATTTTCTTGAATATCTGTAAGAGTGGATACATACATATACTTTTAAAAGGAAGTGCTAAATCAGCTTGTCCAACTAAGTACATGATTGTTTTACAAACTATACAAAACTATAGTTTTACAAACTATAGAGATATCATATTCTTATCAGTTGCACAGTACATATATATAGATGGGTCATAGGAACCCATAGCCATCTCTCAGAAATGTCTTGTGGGCCACTGAAAAAGAATTATTCTCTTCCCCTCACAGTATGGGGTAATTAATTATCCTTCATAATGGACATTTTAAAAATAAATATAAAAAACAAAATTAATAATGTTTATAAATAATATAGGTATGACTATAAAGAGGGTTAGGATATGCAAAATTTGAGTGATGATTTTTAGCATTAGAGAGGAAGAAGAGACTAGGATCAGGATTAGAGAATAAAAGAGAATTACATTTTATTAATAATATTTTAATTTTAAAATGCTTCAATAAAAACAGGTAAAATATTAATGGAGAGTACTTATTACTTGTAATATTGCTACATACACTGTATTTTCAAAATACCATAAAAATTATATTACAAAGAATTTTTAAGAATTGAATCTGCAAAATGACCCTAGATCTCTGAAAGAGTAGAAAAAAAGGTGAAGGAAATAGAGTGTTCATATTTTGCTTGAAGCCCTGGGGAATGAGATTTATAGTGGTTTTAGGGTAGATTATTTTCTTCAAGTGAATCTTCTGAATTTTACAAAGTCCACATAGTGCATGCAGTTCTTTTCAATCTGTGAAAAAGAAGAAAAGGGAAAATATATATATATATTTTTTTAAGAAGTCTGGAAATGACCGGAGAGTAAAAATTCCCTGGAGATTGTATCAAGATGCAAATAAGCACAAGCTCATTTCTCTCGTCCTACCTCAAATCCCCTTAAATGGCAAGAAACACAGGTTTCCGTATATAGAGACTAACATCAGAATGGCATGGGGGCGGGGGGGGGGGGGGAAAAGGGAAATTCTTGAAAATTGGAAAACAGATGGGGCACGGGCATTGTGGTAAAGTGTAGGGTGAAGGAAATGGGGGCCCCTGATCTGGAGACAGAACGCAAAGCTGGTTGGGGTGGTGCATTGTGGGTTTAGCAAGGCGCCTCCAGATTTTGTAAAGGTGTAGAGCCGAGAGATAGAAACACCTCCGAGGCACAGGGCAGAGGTGGGCTTGAGAGTGGAGGAGGCGAGGAGGGTGGTAGTGCTTGGCAGGAAGGGGCGGCCTCTCTCCTGGCAGGAAGCTGCGCGATGGTAAGAGGGAGGAGACTGCGGCTGCGGCAGCGGCTTCTGGGATCCCGATGTGGCAGAGAGGCCGTCACCGCCAAAGAGGTGGAGGGCCCGCGAGCGCAGTATTGGAGACACTGCCGCCATCCTCTTCGTCAGCCCAGCTGTCTTCCTAGAAACGCTCCTCGCCTAAGAATCCTTCCCTCCCAGCTCTTGCAAACTCCGAACTCGTCGCCTGCTGATCCTCTTTCACCACAGGTTCACAGCGGAGGCAGCAGTGAGGTGTCCGATTTGGACACGTGAGACCTGCGGTCCCCCGACTTGGGGAGGTGGGCGCTGGACTAGAGAATCGGAGGATGCGGGTTGGTGGGTGCCAAGAGGGAAAATTTGGGTTCCGTGCTGGAATGGAAAATGAGGGAGACTGAGAAAGGTGATTTGGGGATGGGGGGGTGGGGGGAAGGAGAGCCGAAGAGCACCTGGGTGGTATATAAAGGTAGCCCCAGAAAGAGAAATATATTTGCTCTGGGCAACCAGCGGCAAAATGGGGTAAACCAGGAAGAGATATGAAGGAGAGTTGAACAACGGGCAGAAGGAATGGGGGTGGGAGGCAAGACAGATGAAGAGCAAATAACAATGAGCAGGGGAAAAGGGTACTATGTTCATGCAAATGGAGAGACTGAGTGGGAACTAATAAATGATGAATATTTGTGTTTGGTGTGGGGAGTCTAAGATGGCAACAGAAGTATTAGCCAAAGGAGCCTGCTCCCTCTTGCTGGGGGCTCATCAACCAAAGCTATCAGCTTTCCAACCCTCCAGCACAGCCAAGTAAGTTTGGAGGGACTGCAGGCAAACATCCAATAATATTTTGATAGCCAGCATCTCTGCTAGACATCCAATAACTTGGATGGCAATACATATACCTGATGCCCAGGGAATTTGCAATGCAGAGAAATAAAATTTCACACTACAGTACACTAAATGTTTCTCCCTAGCCTCTTTCCTCCCCTTGCAGGTATGAAGACACCTCACAAAAAGGCAACTGCAAGGCAGCAAACAAGGGACATTGTTGATGGCGACACCTTGTCTGCAAGTATGAGGAAGAAAAAGATTTCTCAAAAGAAACAGAGGGGCAGACCTTCCTCCCAGCCCCGCAGGAACATCGTGGGCTGCAGAATTTCACATGGATGGAAGGAAGGCAATGAGCCCATCACCCAGTGGAAAGGAACCGTTCTGGATCAGGTGCCTATAAATCCCTCTCTTTATCTGGTGAAATATGATGGAATTGACTGTGTCTATGGACTGGAACTTCACAGGGATAAAAGGATTTTAAAGCTTAAAATCCTTCCTGATAAAGTGCCATTTTCTCGAGTCAGAGATGTGCGCCTTGCAAATACCATAATTGGTAAAGCTGTGGAACATATGTTTGAGGGTGAGCATGGTTCTAAGGATGGATGGAGGGGGATGGTCTTAGCCCAAGCACCCATTATGAAAGCCTGGTTTTATATTACCTATGAGAAAGATCCTGTTTTGTACATGTACCAGCTTTTAGATGATTATAAAGAAGGTGACCTCCATATCATGCCAGAGTCGAGTAAGTCTTCTCCAAAAGAGAGAGAGCCAGAAGGAGTTATAGATGGTCTCATAGGTAAACATGTAGAATATACCAAAGAAGATGGCTCCAAAAGGACAGGCAAAGTAATTCACCAAGTTAAAGCCAAACCTTCTGTGTACTTCATCAAGTTTGATGATGATTTCCATATCTATGTCTATGATTTGGTGAAAAAGTCTTAACAGTTAGGGTAAACCTTATCACATGTATGTAGGCAAATGTATGATTTGAAGAAACACAAAAAATGTTGCTTTTCAGTGTACTGAAAGTATAGGGGCCCCTAATAACCCATCATCATTGCCAGCAAAACTGTTGTTTTGTTCTGAAAAATATAAGTTTATGTAGCTATGACATGCTGTGTGTAAGGCATTTGTCATGGTGAAAAGGTTGGGTGTGTTTGATTGAGGTAACATGAAAGAAAGGAACAAGTGTAAATTCAGGCTGTGAATAAAGTTCAGCTAGTATCATAATGATTCATCTAAAAATGGAACAGGACTTAGCTGGTCTGGCCTAAGGAGAGGAGAGAAGAAGGAACTAGAGATGGACTTTTGGGGAAAGGAGGAGAGATGGCTGCTTAAGAAAGGAGGTGGGAAGGGGTCAGAAATGGAGAGGCTTCTAGGGGGAGGGATAACCTAAGAGGGGGAGGCAGCCAACTGGGAGGGGGTTGAAGAATAACAGAGAGTGAAATCTTGGGGTTGAGAGGAAATCAGGATAAATTGAGTAAAGAGGAACACAAATACATTTAGAAGAAGTTCAGAGCAAGGGAGACAAAGATAAAAGTTGGCTCCACAGAGGGAGTGAAAATAGAGAAAACAGGGCATGAGGTGTGGGTTCCATGAGAGATTGGAAGACCCAAGAAAAATAGCACTTCTGGCAGTATCCAAGTTGCCCTCCCTATCTCTGTGCACAAAGAATGTGGCAACAAAGAAACCAGATGGATTGGAGCTTCTCTAGAGGGAAATTTTGACAGGAATGTCTCAAGAGTTAAGCAGGAGTCAAGTTTATACATAAAAGGTTTTTATTATATCAGGGAGTTCATGCCACACCTGCTAAGTAGAGGCCAGCCCTCAGCCTAAACACGCTAGCATGGTGCTCCATAGCAGGGGGCTGCAGGCAGTTGCCTCGTATTTTCCAGAGGACCCAGGGGCAATAAATCTCAGGCCTGAAGTTCTTGGTTCACTTCCTCTACACTGAATAAATGATTTTTTCGGGAACGAGTCAGTGGAGTTCTCAGAACTTAAGAGATGTGCCATCTTGCATTTGGAAAGCATTTTATCCAGAAAAAAGGAAACTTGCTCAACCCAGATACTGCACTTATCTCACTGTTCTTCAACTTCCTGAACTATACCTTGCCTCCTTACAGAGGACGTGGCTTAGTGCTTCTCTCCAGGGCATGGGGAAATACTTGATTGTCCATGCTTCTCAGCAACTGCCTGAAACCACAGGTATCTCCCACTAGTGCTTCACCAGATGGAGGTCTGCTGCCTCCAGAAGACCCATTCTGGCAATACCCCAACAAAAAGAGTGCCTACTGACTCTTCACGGGTACCTCCTGACTAGTCTTGCTCACTTCAAGCACACAGGGAACTGTACTAGAAATGTGTGCAGTTCTATTTTCAGGTGAGATAGGTGGCATGGGCAGTTGGGTGGGGAGTTGTGACTTTGTATAACTAAGTCCTTTGACTGTATAGTGCCACATAGGTCGTTGGTGTGAAGAGGGTGTGGTAACTCTCAATAAATTCCCTCTGAGGTATGGTGTCCCAATACATGGGTCTTTGTCCTTCTCTCTTCCTTTCCATCCCCCAGTCCAGCTGTGGATGTTCCCTTTAAAACTCTCTCTGGTTTTCCCACTCCACGTTCTTCACTGCCATCAAAGAAACAGTTCTGCGGTCTCTCTTCTGCCCAGTAACTCCAGGCATAGCAGGCAGAGGGGAAGGCAGGGAGCTTCCCAGAGTGGAGAGAAGTTGTTAATTACAGCTCATTCTCTCCACCCAACATGACCTGAAGCTGTTTGCTTCAAGAACTACACAAGGCGAGCCCACCTCACCAGAGCAGGGATAGGTTTTCTTTCATACATCACATAATTCAGTATAGAAAACACCTGCAGGCAACTCATGGGCCAGTTTCAGCCCACTGTCATAGTTTGCTGATCTTCATGTTTTTATCATTCTCCATTTTACAATTAGCTATACAGACATTTTGGGGATTTCACATTTCAAAAATCCACATTTCTGGCTTACCTTTTAAAAAAAAAAAAAGACCATGGGTTAGGGACCACATTTCAACAAGGACACAAGCAGTTGACTCTGAGGAAGGGCTCAGCCCATTTTAAACTCAGAATGCTCTCAAGTGGGCCATGCCCCCAGATGGCCTGCTTCACGATAATAAAATGCCCAGATGTCCCCCAGAAGTATTTGCATTTGTCGATTTGGGATTAGATCCAGGGGAAACTGCTAAGCTCCTCTTTGGCTTACTTTGACTGCCTTTGCTTTTTAATTTATTTGCTTTATCTTCATCTCACCATTACTTACTTCAGGTGGGCTCTCAGCCAGTCAGTCTTCTAGACACAGGAACTTATGGTAATAAAGAAAAGAAACAAAATAATATTACCCTCATGGAACTTTCATTTTAGTGTGGGAGAGAGTAGCCAAGATAAAATAAAAGTATAAATTATTTTCAAAATGATAATGTTAAGTAGAAAAATAAAGAATGGGCTATGGAAGTCCCAGGGAGGCTGATGTTGGAGAGATTATAAAGTAAGAGAGGGCTTCACTTAGATGGTCTAGTGGTTTTCCCTACTTTCTTCAATTTAAGTCTGAATTTGGCAATACAGAGTTCATGATTGAAGCCACAGTCAGCTCCCAGTCTTGTTTTTTCTGACTATATAGAGCTTTTCCATCTTTGGTTGCAAAGAATGTAATCAATCTGATTTCAGTATTGACTATCTGGTGATGTCCATGTGTAGAGTCTTCTCTTGTGTTGTTGGAAGAGGATGTTTGCTATGACCAGTACGTTCTCTTGGCAAAACTCTATTAGCCTTTGCCCTGCTTCATTCTGTACTCCAAGGTCAAATTTGCTTGTTACTCCAGGTGTTTCTTAACTTCCTACTTTTGCATTCCAGTCCCTTATAATGAAAAGGACAACTTTTTGGGGTGTTAGCTCTAAAAGGTCTTGTAAGTCTTCATACAACTGTTCAACTTCAGCTTCTTCAGCATTACTGGACAGGGCATAGACTTGAATTACTGTGATATTGAATGGTTTGCCTTGAGCATGAACAGAGATCATTCTGTCATTTTTGAGACTGCATCCAAGTATTGCATTTCAGACTCTTTTTTTTTTTTACCATGATGGCTACTCCATTTCTTCTAAGGGAGTCCTGCCCACAGTAGTAAATATAATGGTCATCTGAGTTAAATTCACACATTGCAGTCCATTTTAGTTCGCTGATTCCTAAAATATCAATGTTCACCCTTGCCATCTCCTGTTTGACCACTTCCAATTTGCCTTGATTCATGGACCTAACATTCCAGGTTCCTATGAAATATTGCTCTTTGCAGCATTAAACTTTACTTCTATCACCAGTCACATCCACAACTGGATGTGTTGTATTTGCTTTGCTTTTGCTTTGTTGTGTTTGTTTTTGCTTTGGCTCCATCTCTTCATTCTTTATGGAGTTATTTCTTTACTGATCTCCAGTAGCATATTGGGCACATACCGACCTGGGGAGTTCATCTTTCAGTGTCCTATCTTTTTGCCTTTTCATACTGTTCATGGTGTTCTCAAGGCAAGAATACTGAAGTGGTTTGCCATTCCCTTTTCTAGTGGATCAGAACCCTCCATCATGACCCATCCGTCTTGGGTGGCTCTACACCACTCGGCTTAGTTTCATTGAGTTAGACAAGGCTGTCAGTAGTGTGCGACACCATGGACTGTAGCTTGCCAGGCTCCTCTCTCCATGGGATTTTCCAGGCAAGAGTACTGTACTGGGTTGCCATTTCCTTCTCCAGAGGATCTTCCCAACCTGGGGATCGAATCTGGGTCTCACACATTATAGGCAGAGGCTTTACAGTCTGAGCCACCAGGGAAGTCTTATGGTAGGGCTAACCTTCTTCAAAAGAACCTTTGCATGCACTGTTGTATTCAGTGCCCTTAACCCCAGAGCAGACCACTATCAACCCAGGCCTCTGCCAGAGATTCTTGGACACACATGGGCAAGTCTGGCTCAGTCTCTTGTGGGGACACTGCTCCTCTTTCCTGGCTCCTCGTGTACACACAGTTTTTATTTTGTGACCCGCCCCCTGCCCCCACCAAAGCATCTCTTTCCCCAGCCCTGAGGAAGTTCTATGATCACATCCCACTGGCCTGCAAAGTCAAATTCCCTGAGGGTTCTTAGTCCCTTTGCCAGATCCATAGGTTGGGAAATCTGTTGTGGGTCTTAGAACTTAACGGTGTAAGAATTTCTTTGGTATAATCATTCTGCAATTTGTGGGTTGTCTCCTTGGTGGCTCTATGTTGGGGCTAATGGTGACCTCCTCCAAGAGGCCTTTTGCCACGTGCTGCATGACCCAGGTCTGTTGCAGCCAGAGCCTCTGTCCCTGTTGGCCAGCCACTGCTGACCCATGCCTCCACAGGAGACACAAACACTCAAAGGCAGGTCTGGCTCAGCCTCTGTGGAGTCTCTGGGTCCTGGTGCACACAAGGCTTAGTTTAAGCCCTCCAAGTGTTTCTAGCGGGTATGAGGTTTGATTCTAAATGTGATTTTGCATCTCCTACCATCTTGTTGGGGCTTATCCTTTGCCCTCGGATGTGAGGTATCTTTTTTTGGTGGGATCCAACATTCTCCTATTGATGGTTGTTTAGCAGTGAGTTGCAATTTTGGAATTCTCGCAGATGAGCACACACCCTTCTACTCAGCCATGGTTTATGTAAGTCAAGTCACTATGCTGTGTATGTTAAACAGTGCTGAATGTCAACTATGTCTCAGTATAGTTGATGTACCTATCTCAGTAGAGTCAGCTCTCAACTCCTTGCTTATCCCTATGGAGTGAAGGGTTTCACCACACATCTAGTACCCTAACTTTTATGGCTGCCACTGAAGGATGGGTCCATAAATCACCCAGCTCTGATAGACAACAGGGCTTGCATTCACAGGCCCTCCAGGAACATAGCAAAAGAAGCAGTTTATAAAATAGTTCATGAGCACTCCCACAGCTATATCACCTGGTCTCAGTGCAGAGAAAGCAGGCAAAAATGTCCTTCTCCTAGTTACTCCATGGGGCTTCCCAGGTGGTGCTAGTGGTAAGGAACCTGCCTGCCAATGCAGGAGACATAAGAGACACGGGTTTGATCCC